GGTGGGAATCGATGCACAGTAGGTTCCAGCCTACTGGTTACAGGGTGCTGAAGGAAGGACTTGACATTTCTGCCCTCCACCTCCCAGCGGGAGAGCCCACCTGCTCTTTCTGCTGTCATGCAGAAAAGGAAAGGTGATAAAGATCCTCAAAAACCAGCAAGTAAAAGGCCTACAAATGCCTAAGTGTTATCATCAGACAGTCTGGTGGCCACCACGGCTCCCATTACTGGGACCTGATTCATGTGACACATGGGAGGAGGCCTGACACATGGGGCATGGTTCAGCACCACAGAACCAAATTTTCTAATTCAAGATCACTCTAAAGTCAAATTTGAAGGGGCAATGAAGACACTGACTTGGACTCATCTCAGTGCCATACCCTCTATCCAGGTTATCAGCTGTACAGCTCACACCACCTGGCTCTTGCTCCCACTTCTTAATTGGTCTGAAACTTAGGAAGACTCAAGTGAAAAGACGGCTGGCAACTCCCAGGGCCACAGCCTTTGCTGCCATCAGAAGGTCATAATGATGGGCACTATGGGCAGACAGATGCTATGCCATGATCTTCACATCCACCAACAGGGAGTCCATTGCCAAGCATATTTCCAGAACCCATCATGCTTCACAGTTCATTAGCTCACTTAGAGACAGAAGGCTAGTGTTCAGTGAGGTGTCCCCAAAAGGCTGAAGGCAGGGATAGCCACACCCCAGAGACTCCTGGACACTAGGCACTTGGCCCATGGAAGACAAAGACCTTGGTTGACAATGGCACACTGGCCAGCAGACTGTCCCACTCCAGGTCAGGAATGTTAGGTGCCATAAAAGGGATGGGAGCTGTCATCTTGGCCTGTACAGGGCCTCAGCACATGCCAAAAACTATTGTGTGGGCCTCTCAGTCCTACAGCCATACAATACCTTCTGTGCAAACAGAAGGTATGAGGAAATCTGCACAGCAGCCTTCACAAAGAGGCAGAGAGAGAGAGAGAGAGAGATGCCCTGGTGCTGAGCTACAGAAACACTAAGTCACTGTCATCAACTACCCACTTGGATGTCCTCCAGCACATTAACTTCAGGTGAGTCTTTAGCTCTCTGAGTCCTAGGACAAATTAGCACTCCTGAAAGATCCTTCAAGGGCTCTCTTTGTGCCTGGGCCCTTGTGAGATCCTTAGAGAAATTTCCAGACACTAGAGCATTCGTTCCTAGATTTTCCCTCTTCATTCAGGCTAGAAAAAGCAAAGCAGAGGAACAGAATGGCCCAGAAGGCAAAAGTAGAGCTGCTCCCATCCCCACAAACACCAGAAAGTACCCGGGATGCTCCATAGCCTCCACACCCAATCATGGCTTGGAGGTTTGCACTTGCAGTGTGCATTTACGGTGAGAGCAGCACATTCCCATGAGGAGGCCGCGCCTGGCCAGCCAGCCTCACCTCTAATGTGAGCACGACCATCCTTTCCTGGCTCCCCTGGAGCAGAAACACAAATACCCTCTCTGGTGGTTGTGGTCAGCAGGCTCTGGCCTCATGGCCCAACTTGATTCCCCAACCAAGTGCTTCATGGAAGCCCCAAGCACAGTAACCTGAGTCCCACAGGACTCTTCTCTCCTCAGACAGCCCTTTTCCCACTGAGCACAGCCATCCCTGCATGGGATGCCAGGGCCTGGTAAGGTTAGACAAGAGGTCTATGGCTCATGCTGCTCCTAGCTCTAACTTCTGGAGGTCTGAGGTCCCAGGAAAATGGAAGGGTCCACAAAAGCCTGGCAAGTACTCTGGGATGAGCATTCCAATTTAAAGAATTAGGACAAAGAGCACAATAAAAATTCATCATTGGTCATATCCCCTCTTTAAGCTCACCAAGTTGTAACTATAATAAGATCTGTAAGGGTATCCCACCCTACAAAACATAACCCTGAAACTCAACTTCCTGGGCTTTACCCTCCACCATTTTCCTACAGCAGATACATCACAGGACAGCAGCCATCTAGAATGTAATCCCTACTACACAGGCCTCAAGGGAGTCCCAGACTCAGAGGCAAGAGAGAACTCATCTTGTCCATCCTCTGCCTGTACAAAGAAAGGAAAAAATAAAAAAGAAACCAGCCCAAGAGCCTTGTGAATGGGATGGGGGAAAGCTGGGCTTCAAAACCCTGCAGACTCCATGGGCTGCTCAGGAGCCTGGCCTGGCTGATGTCAGTGTTGCGTGACACCCATGTGATCTGAGCTAAGTCCAGATGAATTGTAACAGAGGGCCAAAGCAAAGTAACCCAGGTATCAGGCAAATCAAAGGGAACTGATACTGTGCATGAAAAGCCAGCCTGGCCTTTTTTAGCCTGGCTGAGGAGACAGCTCCAGCCCTGTGCAGAGTTTCTAGCTTCCTCCTTTCTACTCTCTGCCCTGAACTTGCCTCTAACTTGAAAGAGCTAATTAAAGCCCAAAGAAAAATCAAAAGCTTGTTATCTGGCTCCATTACTCCCGGTCCTGGCATTAGTCTGTCTTGCAAAGCTGTGTTCCCTCTGTTCTCTCCAAGGCTACCATGTGGTGCGAGGACCTGCAGTGCTGCAGACTTCCACGATGAACTTGGCTTTTTGTATTGTAGCAGGGAGCAAGGGCAGGACAAACACCTGCCCATGGCAGTCAGATAAATCCCTGCAGATGTTTTTGCTCCCAAAAGCATAGCCTAAAAGACAGAGTTTGAGCAAGTTTTCTACAGAAAAGTATCAGAGATTGCCAACTCCTCTGATCTCAAAAGAACTAGTTGTTTAGTGAGTTCAGCATAAATTTACCATTTTCTAATATAGGATGCATGTGTGCACAGTTGCAGGGGTATTTAATGCATATATGCAAGTATATACATATATACATGTGTGGTGTGTATATGTGCACACGTGTGTGCCCCATAGGAAGGGGCGGCTTTTCCTCAAGTGCTGACTGTGCCATGCACTCACAAGATGTGTGACCTGGGGCAAATCATTCACCTTGTTGTGTCTCAGGGAGTTCAAATGGAAAATGAAGGTTTAAACCAGTGTTGTTTTGAGTGTCTGTGCCCTCTTAAATGCAGGTTGCAATTTAATTGCTATCATAACAGTATTGAGAGGCAGTACATGCAAGAGGTGATTAGGCCATAAAGGCTATGCCCTCCTGAGTGGATCAATTCTGTTATGATGAGAATGGGGCAAGGACAAGTTCAGGCACCTCTTGTTTTTCCGCTCCCCTTCTCTTAGCACTTCACCGTGTGATAACCTCTATCATGTTAAGATGAAGGAAGAAGGTCCTCACCAGATACAAAACCTTTGATCTCAGACTATCCAGACATCAGGACTATGTGAAATAAATTTCTGCTCATTTGTTTGTTTGTTTTTTTTTCCGGTACCTGGAATCAAACTCAGGACCTTGCACTTGCCAGGCAGGCACTGTGCCGCTGAGCTAAATCCCCAGCCCCTCTGCTCATTATAAATTGTCCACTGTCACTGAGCTGTCTGGATCCTCTCCATACCAACATTCGGATGCATCTTCCCATGACCTGTGTTTGAGTGTGTAACATACACAAACCAGCCTGTCACTGACTGTCTTCATTTGACAGCAGTGTATGGTCCTCCAAAGCCATAACCCTATCTCAGACCCTCTTGAGAAGATCAATCACTACCCCAAAAGGCTCCAGGTGGCATTCCCAAACGTTAAGTTGCAAGTTAGGACTTAACAGATGGCAGAGTTCCCTAAATTTTTTTGCCTGGCTTTTATTTATCCATCTGTGGCTTCCCTGTTTAGCCCATGGGACCTCTTCCATTAGGGATCTCCTGGATTTTAAGACCTCCAAGGAGGAATGGGATCTTTTCATTTCAGCCCAGACACCTAGGATCCTTGCCCACCAGAAGCAGCTTGAGTCTACATGTCAAGCACAGTGACAAACTTCTGTAAGTGTTTTCTCTTCCCTCTTCATTACCCCCACCCCAAATCTCAATGCCAGAGGAATGGTCTCATTTTTCCTTTCTTATCCTCTAGTCAAGAGATCACAAGATAGACTGCAAACTAGAGTGATAATTTTGAAAAGAAAAAATGGAAAGAACTGTACCGAGAGCATCGAAGATGCCAACAGCTGGGCCTTCTAAGTGACGTGAGGAATGACCGTGGGAAGTAGAGCGGTACACTTTGAAAGATGAATAGATGTTAAGCCCAGAAAGGCAGATATTCTTCACACTGCATCACAGGTGAGCAGGGTTAGGGAGGCAGGGGGTTCATACATTCTAGCTGAGGTCACCCTGCAAGATGTCTGTCTGTCCCTCAGGCCCTTAGGCCATGAGAAAGCCCCTGAAATCAAGGTGAAGGACATCCACTGCAGCAGCGCAGGACGCTCCCCCTTCTGAGTTCCTACAGCACTTTTGCCACCTGGGGTTGCTCTCTGGCTGCTTCTGGACTTTGTGATACTTCTTTTCCATGCACACAAAAGATGCTTAATAAACATAGCTCACCTCCTATCTCTTTTCTGCTCTCAATCTGCCATTTTCTAAAGATTAAAAAAAAAGCCAAAAATATAAGTCTCCTGAAATCCCACATCCATCCCAAATGCAGAATGACTTCTCTCTCCACTCTTCCATAGCTTTATTCTAAGCTCCCAGGAAAGTTAGAACCTCCCAGGTTTGGAACATGAGAAAGGTAAGCACACGTCTTGGGCGATGGCAAAATGAAGTCATAAGCTTGGCTATGTCTGGTGCCTAGGACATCGATTACCCACACTCCCAATGTGCCCAGCACTCCCTCTCATTACCAGTGAGCCAATATGCAACAGAGAACAGTACACCAATGGGAAATGGACATTTCAGCTCCAGCTCTGATTCTATGCACTCAGGATGCTTGAGCTGTGATGGTCTGAGGCCATTGAGACATAAAATGGGGTGTACTCATCCCATCTACAAAAAGGGAAGGATGATACGCACCCACGGAGGTTGCAAGGTCATAGTACTCATCGTCCACAACCCACCATCCCAGCCACAGGGCCTCCCCAACTCACCGCACTGCTGCAGGGGATGTCCTTCACCTTGAGCCAGGCCAGGTCCAGCGTGCCCTCGCCTCGGTAGCAAGACTGTAACCGTTCCTTAATGCGGTCATTGATCTGCTTTAAAATGAAGATACATAGGGCTGATTCATCCAGAGACTTCATTTTTCGCTTCTGGCCCTTTGAGAAGACAGTGTAGAGAAGGTCATCATCTGGATGGACACCCAGGGTCCGGCCAAGCACAGCACCAGCTTTGGACAGGTAGGCAGCCTGCAGTAAGCGGTACTCCACCCCACTGCGCTCACAGCCAATGGGTACCTCCACGTAGGAGTTGAAGGCCGTATCCTCCTTGCAAAGTCTCACAAGCTTGGATGTATACACCTGTTCCTTTGTTGTGGAGCCTGGGGGAGAGACCATCTCAGGCTGCAGGGTCAAAAAGTAGACAAAGTTGCCACTGCTGAAACCATAGACATAGTAGATATCAAAGTCAGGGATGACCGTGAAGGTGTCTGAAGGGATCTTAATCATTGAGGCCACGAACTCATCATGGAAGACATAAGCAAACATGCCATCTGCCTCAGAGTTTTTGGTCAACTTCCGACTAGAGATGGTAGGAAAATACTCAGGCTTTCCATCCACTGCTGTGGCAATGAAGAGTTTGTCATCCAAGTTGCTGTAGGAAACGATCACCCCGAAAACTGAGCCACTCTCATTAACCCCTGACAGGTAGTGCTCCTTCTTGTGAAAGGGCTCCCCCAACTTGAAGAGATCCTCCAGCCTCAAGAGCTTGCAGATGCCCTGGTACAGGCTCCCACACGCAATCAGCCTGTTCTCCTTGTAGTCTATGAGGAGCATCTTGTTGACATTGTTGGTGCTGGTCAGGGGCTCATTGCAGGTCTGAACAATGCGAGGTGGGTAGCACTTGGGGTTGTCATCATCTGGCCCTGTCTGGTGGGTCACCAAGACCTTCAGGTCACTGGAGAGCTTGTAAATCCGGTTGACAGCCCCCAAGTAAATGTGCCCTGTCCTCTCATCCACCACCAGGTGATTGAAGCCCTCAGTGGGCTCCCCCCGGAATGTGACAAAAGACCGCTTCTGGGACAGTGAGGGTGGCTGTCGGGGGAGCAGAGTGGAGGAGCCCATCCCCACCATGAGCAGGTGGGAGAGCAGGCAAGTCCAGTTCCAAGGCATGGCTTTCATTTCAGAGGTGGGTCCTCACAGCTCAGCAGCACTCGGACACAGCTGTCCCCTCGGAGGGCCAGGATTCAACAGGGCAATCTCCCCTAGTGGAGAAAGAAAAGACTGAGATGTGGGGGAACCAGGGCAGGGCTCTATGGCTTTCCACAGTCTAGCTGGCTGGACTCAGAATATTCTGAATACAAGGTACAGAAATGCCTCTGGGAAAGCTAAGGGCCAAGGACGAGGCCCCACCGTGGGTATGTGAGACAGTTACAGCCATCTGGTAGCAGGCCCAGGAGGAGACTTTAGTAATAATAGTACTGGTGATAATAGTAATGATGGTCATAATGATGATGATGATAATGACCATCATCACGATAATAGTGATGGTGATGGTGATGACGGTGATGATGAAAAGAAACAGTGTGTGCCTACCAAGTGTGACACTGTATAGGTCATTGTCCTGCACTTTCTGCAGACCATCTCATTTCACCCTAGCAGGTGCTTTGGTTCTAGGTACCTTCCATTTGCCCCTCCATATCCACAGCCCAAACTTCCCTGGGCCAGAAGTGCTGTCCCCCATGGGCCCTACCCCACTGGGCTCCCTGCTCTTGAGCTTAGGTAGGTACCACCAGCAGGCAGCATCAGCAGAAGCTGAAGAGTAAGGAGACCACTGGCTGGAAGTCTCTTGCAATGCTGGCCAAGGCAGGCCTCTCTGCACTGCTTGTCTGTCCCCAGGTTCTGTAAATGATCTTCTGCAGGGCCCCATCTGGCGCTAGAGGTAGTAGCAAGGCCTTCATTGATACTGAGCCCAAATGCAGCACTGCCCCTGAAGGGACCACATTTTTTATCAAGAGCCTTTTTATTAACCTTTGCTCAAACTTGAACATATTTACTTCCTGCTAGAACCCTGAGTAGTGACCTTGGATGTGCCTATTGTTTCATTCCCACTTTATAACTAAGGAAGGCAGGCTTGAGGAAGTTATGCAATTTTCCCAGCTGAAAGTGGCAGAGATGCCCTCAAACCCAGGTATAACATCCATACTGGGTCCTCATTCTTAACTCTAAACTGTCTCAGTTGACCTTGACCTTGCAAGAGTGAGGCTGCACAGTGCCTCCTGTTTTCCATACCTAAAGCTGAATCTTTTATTCTGGGGTTTCCATTGCAGCTGCTGCCTCTAGTCCTGTGTCTAGACCTACTTCAAGAGGACTTTTCCTTTGCACCTCCTCTGCTGGGTGGCATAGTGAAGCCAGATTAAAAACCCACATCCTTCCATTCCTTCCCACTGCGGTAGCAACCAGGTCCTCTGGGTACACTGTCCAGCTCCAAGCCCTGCAGTCATTTTAAAATGGCAGATCCTGGCTGCTTCCCATAATTCAGACTCCTCTGAGAGGTTTTCATTAAAGGGGGAGAAAAAATGCCTTATGATGACAATGCTCAAGTAGATGGATGGATGGATGGGTGGATGGATGGATGGATGGATGGATAGATAGATAGATCGCTCCTTGCAAAACAAAACCACTGTCCATCCTAATGGTCTCCTTCATTTCTATTCAGGATGCTTTCTGCATGTGTTCCCAGTGGACAGCTTCATATATCTTCCAGTTTTGGAAGATATCAGGGCAGGAATTGCTAATGTCTTATTGGGAGCTTCTCAGCTGTGTGAAATTTCTCTTCTCCCCAAACTCCTCAAAATGAAGTAATAGGACAAAGTAGATCACAAGTAACAGAAAATCTCCCTAGCAAGGACAAGGCACAAGGTTAGCTGGACACCCAGAAAAGAAAAAAGAAAAAAGAAACACTGAACTCCATATCCCCAGATTATGAACTGGGGATAATCTTTTATCCCCAGAATAAAAGATTCAGCTTTATGAACTCCATGAACCCACATGTTCTGTCTTTCTCACCAGTGTCCACAGCACCAAACCTTGCTACTACCTCAGTCAAAATCCTAATGAACAATATAGATCTTTTCACACAGACATAAAGAAGATGGGGGACAGCACCTTTAGGTTGACTCCTACTACCAACAGGAGTCAGGCAGACTGAGGGCCTTCATTCATTCACCCATGTGACAAATACTTGCTCAGAGTATACATAACACATAGAAGACACTACAGCACCAAATATGGGGCCCTCAAAGAACTCATGGTCAAGTCAGAAAGAAGTCATTAGAACCTAATTTAATGCACGTGGTGAGATGGTATGACACATATGACAGACTGTTCTGAAGGTTCATGAGGGAAAGACGCCTCCTATCTTGGGATGAGGGGCCAAGGAGCAGGCTGTGGGGAGCCTTGGGGTAGAATTTGAGCTGAACCATGCATGACACTGAGGAGGACATGCAGAGCTGGAAGGGAAAGGCCGTCTTGTGGGGGTTCCACGTGACAAACTGGCATAGCAATGCAGGGTGTAGACAAAGAGTTACACCTAGAGAACACAGGTCACAAAACAATCAGGTAGAAGACATGGCCGTAAACAGCAAGCCGTAAGGCTTATCACAATGTCACTGGAAAGGTGAGGCTAAAATTCATAGAGCTAAAGAAAGAATGTGAATGTTCAAGGGAATAGCAAACATTCCCAGTGAGGATTCACTATGCTTCTGTCTATGCAGTTTGTATCTTTGGTGAAGGATTTTGAACCCAAGGATCTATGAACTCCATGAACCCACATGTTCTGTCTTTCTCAGCAGTGTCCACAGCACCAAGGCTTTGTCCAGCATCTCTCAACAACCATTTCCTGACTGGCAAAAAGAGGGCCCAGAAGCCAGGAAGCATAACAATATTTGTGCAGGATTTACTATACCCCAGAGCCTAGATGAATGCTGTCACATAGATTAACTCACACGATCACCACAAGTGTTTTCTACAGGCAAGATGACTCTCCCTATTTTTCAGGTAAGGAAATTCTTTAATTCTGCAAAGACACAGGGGAATAAGTGGCAGAGTTAGGGATGCAGCACAGGTTTGTACTACTGAAAAATCCATGTGCATCCTAGCAATACACAATTCCAGAAGCCAGAATATAGAGCACTTGGAAGCCGTTTTTAATTCATGTGAGTTCCAAGTATAGAAATTGCAGGACATCCCCTACCAACACCAGGAGAAAATGGGAGCCCCTCTGATCCCCAGAGCTCTGCCTGGTAGGTGACACCTGTCAGCGGGCACTACTATGTACCTCTGCAAACACTTGACACAGGGCCTCTGTCTGGCACAAAGCAAGTCCTTAATAAGTGATAGTAGGTGGTGTTGTTATTGTTAATGAGATTGAAATAGGATTAGAGAGATGAAGATTATGATAATGGGATGGCACCTGCTGGGTACTTCTCCGTACAAGTGATAAGGAGTCAAAAAAAAATCCCCTTGAATTTCTTGTACAAATCCAAATATTAGAAGGGATTCTAGAATGTTTTTCATCTGAAACAGATAATCCAGTTTAATGTTTCCCAATCCCTGATTTTAGAGACAAGGAAGGTGATATCCAGAGAGATCAAATGAACTCACAGCATGTCACAAAGTGTGTTCACGATAAAGAGGAGGGAAAGCTCAGGTTTCTGAATCCCAGGCCAGTGCTCTTTCCACCACATGTGGCCTCTCCTCTGACTTTATCTAAACCCACTCCAGCATCTGCTCCCTGGCCTTTGTCCGAAAGCAACTGCTCTTTGGGCACCATATGCTCTGCTGGCTAACACAGCTCCTAAAACAGCTCTGCCAAGAACTGAATTCCAGCAGGGATGGTAATCCTCATTCCAGACAGGCAGATGCAGGTCGAGCTCAGCCACCCACCCTTCTCAGCAGTCTCTGTGTGGGAATGTGCCATGCAATGGAGAAAGTGTGCCTGCTACCTTACTATACACACTCACAGACCACAGCCAATCAACAGTTCTCTAGTTTGCATGAGGCGTGACAACAAAGCCTGTAATTACGAATTTACTGAACAGAAAGGTGCCATACTCATTCTCTATTTTCTATTAGGCACTGAAATGAGACACAATTATGCATCTCAAATTTTCATCACCCTCATGTGGGGATGGTGCAATTACTGTGTCCAGAGGGGAGGGAGACTGACAGAAACAATGCCATTTGATAGGATAACCAGTCTTGCATTTTCCACCCCCAGGAAAAGGGTTGATTAGGAAACAAACAATGGAGAAACAGGAAAAGAAAGGAAGAAAAAAAACATGTGGGCTTCTGCCCACAAACGTGGTCCCCAGGTGGCCTCCTACCCCAGCTCAGGACCCACAGATAGGCACAGCCAACAGTTCCCTGCTATCCAGGCCCAGGTAAGGCTGCTCCTACCTGCTAAAACTGAAGCTTCCAAAGGAATGTCCTCTCTAGGACATCAACACTTGTAAGCGGTCACCTCAACCTAAGAATCCTCCAACCCAAATTTGTATACTTTTATCACTTCTATCCCAAATTTTCATTTAAATAATTTCAAAGTAAACCCTTGGAGACAACATTCAGCCCAACTTTCATCCTTACAGGTAAGCAGTGGGATGGAGTCACCCTAAGATTACCCAGGAAGACACTGAACCAGATAGGGGAGAAAAGTAACCAGAGGACAGGAGACCCAAAAGACTCTATAAAACCCAAACACATAACACTTTTCCCTTCTTTAAAATTATATTTTAATACTGAGTGGTCTCAGGGGAGAAGGGACTCATTTTTAGAAGCAGATAATTTTGATTAAAGCAATTGGGACTGTTTTCGTTTTATATGGCAAGTTTTGAAGAGCTCAAACTAATTTTCATGAAATAGTACCACCCTCTTAGATTCCTGAGTGGCAGAAAGAAAGTTATTATACAGCCATTTAAAAAGCAATTACCAGATTTCTGGGAAGATGGCAGAATGGTGAACAGCAGAAAAATAGCCTCTCTGATATTTGGAAGCCAGATGCTGGAATATAGCAACATGAGGAAGAGAAGGAGGAGGAAAGTGAGTCCCTAGGACCCAGCAAGGATCTGAAGCAAGAATTGGAGTCCACAGGGAGAGTGAAGAGAGGAACCACAATGCAGAGGAGGAAGGTGGCAAGTGGCACTTTCTCCCTGAGCCTGGCTTGTGGTGTGTGAGAAGTGGCTTGAACCTGCAGTTGCACACTGAC